ACAACATCAATTGATGTTGTGTTGTCTGATAATTATGTTGCAATGCTAATTTAGCATCACAGAAGCTTCTCTATTTATTTGTGCTGAGAATGTATATAAACCCTTGGGGTAGCTGTAAAAGGTGGACCAGCCTTTACTTCTGCCCTGTCAATATACAGCCCATAAAAGCATATTACTAGACAGACCATCTCAGGCCTGAGGTGAATGGGGGAATGGAACATTACCGTCCCCAAACAAGTAAGCAATCCTACACAACAACAGGGCAGCAATGAAGGAATGGGAGGAAGGGAGTGGTTGGGGAGTCCAGGGCACCCTAGGGCAGGATGCTGAACCCTGACAGAATGGGAAGATGAACTCCCTTTTGACTACAAAGAAACTGTAGTGCTGAGAGATCCAACTAAGAGAAAATTCCTGAGCTTGACACCTTGAGTATTATAAGGAACCCCTGACAATTGTCCAAGATGGACCAGGGGTATGTGATTCTTAAAGAGTTTTTTGTGATTATTTTATTTTTGTTAGCACCCAGACCAAACCCAGGACAGTCTTAGGACACAGTAGACTTCCTCCCCATGAATTTAGGGGGTTAGATTCCTAGCCTGCTTGCACCATCTTGCCCCACATCTCTAACATATGTGTTACGGATACGGAGTCTCCAACGACCATATCCGTCGCATGGTCAAAGACTTCTCCTCTCTATCATTCCCCCCCCCCTCTTTCTCCCTTCCGTCCTCTATCCCAATACCCTATCCTCCTTACCTGTTCTACCCCTTTCCCCCCCTCGTGCAAAGCTTTCCCCATTGGGGTTTTGGTGCTGGCCGAGGTTACTTGTGTTTCATGGGATTTCCCACGACCTTACCATTTGTAGATAGTCACGCGTCTTGTACGGTGAAGGAGCGGAACTGAGAGTGCAGTTTTCCCTGTTCCTGGTTGTGGGGGAGTGTACCTGTTGAGTACGGTGCTGTGTTAGTGTTTTGGTTGCTTTTTCAACAGTTTAGTATGCTATAGAAAAATCAAACAATCAAACACCCTGCGGAGCTGTTCAAATAATTCTGTCTGTCTGAGCCGACTCTGTTCTGTTCAGCTCTCAGTCAGAATTCACCTAATTCTACCACTTTTTAGTTTAGGAAGTGATTACTCCTATGTGTGGAGAGATACTACTATTTTCTCCCTTCACACTGTCACTTTTTGTTCAGTAGTAACAAACTGCTTCTAAGTGTCTTACTTAGATGCCTATAAATCTCCTACCTCACTTATCACACTGTTGTTGCCTTTTGTACAGTGGCAAACTTAACTGTCTTATCACTTTTTCGCACTGGAGTGAGAACCAGAAGTGCTTGAGAGAAATATTACTCTATTTTCTTACTTCTCTTACTGTTGTTGCCTTTTGAACAGAGGCAATCTTAACTGTTTCTATCACTTTTTCGCACTGGAGTGAGAACCAGAAGTGCTTGAGAGAAATATTACTCTATTTTCTTACTTCTCTGAGGGGCTGCAAAGTGAGCGAAATCATGGTCCTTTTATACCTTTCAAGACCTTTCTTTCCCACGCTTTGCACTATTTACATGCAATAGAGTATTTACAAGCTTTTGTTCTAGAAAGCCCTAATGACTTGCCCAGATGACTTAGTCAGATATGACTCAACCAAAATGACTTGGTTAGATGTGATGGGGCTGCGTATGACTCAGTCTGAATTGGTTTCAGGCTGTGCATTTCTATTTTCAAGAAATGACTCAACCATATTATGACTCAACCAAAGTGACTTGGTCAAAAATGACTCAGCTGGAAATGACTCCATCAGAAATGACTCAGTCAGGGTGTCATATAGTTCTGTCTAGAAAATATTTCTAGGTAGTTGTTCATAGGTTCATATAATCCATATAGTGTAAGCATGTGAGGAAATGTTCTTCAAAGTATGTTTTAACATAAACAGTCCAAAAAAAAATGTCATAAAAATGTAATGCATGTCAGATCCCCCTTGTTCCACAGCCATGGGAACATCTGGTGAATGTCTGTGCACAGGGAAACTTGTGCCAAGACTGAGGCTGAAGTGTGGTCACCTTACCAGTTAAAGTGTTTAACTTGTCACATGACCTTCAACATGGTGTCGAATCCAAGTGATACACACAACCTTGATTGACTCCTTCAATTACTCTTTCCTCCCATTCCAACTTGCTATCATACAAGGGTCAAGTGTCCATGCATGTGAGGTCATTCTTTAGTTGTTGATGATGTCCTCGGAACTTTCCCTACAACGGAAACCGCCGAAGGCAGTTCCCGCTAACTAACAACTACTCTCTACAACTGTCTTGTGTGTCGTCTTCTGTACAACCCATCCTGTGACTCAACTGAACCGTGTGACTGTACAACTCACAACATGTCCTATAAGTCTGGTTATGTCGAGTCCTCTAACGGTCCTCACCGTGAGAACTCGAGGTCGCGAGTCGAAGACTCTCGACCTGTGTATCATCCTATGGAATCTGTACCCTACGGGACCTCATCTCTCCGCTCTCCCCCCAGTGCTCGACAGACAATGTCACATCACGATCTTGGTGATTGTGAATACTCTGAGGTCCACCTTCCCGTGACGCCAGCACGTTCGCTATGCGAACGCCAAGTAGCCGCCCGTCCACCGTCTGTTCCCTCCTTCGTCAGTCATCATATTCCCCCGCCAACAGTACGTTCCCTTTGGGAACACCAAGTCACCGAAGGCCCCATTAGTCAATCCTTATTGCACACTCATGATATCAACCTGCTACCAGTACGTTCGCGCTGCGAACGCCAAGTACCCAATGGCAGTTATACAAAGTTCTCACCCACCTCACAAGTCGTGACCTCACACACGGTACGCTCCATTGAGGAGCGCCAAGTACCCGTGGCTGACACGTCCATTATGACGTCTCCGACTACCTACCATCAATTCCTTAATAGCTCACTACATCACCAATCACGATCGATGGGAATTCGATCGTCCACACCCTTGCAAGACTGGGACCACTCATCGATTACATATCCCATTATGGTACAGACTAGATATGACGTTTGTCATCCTGCTATAAGAACGGATCGAGGATTGGGGATTTCCCCCCATCCCCGTTGAAGGAGCGGAGCTGGATCACCTTATGTAACCAGTTTCCTACATCCAATAACGATATTAGAGTTTGTGCTGATTTGCGTACTGACCGTGTTTTGGTTGCCAAATATATGATTGTTCACTGTCTAAACAACAATAAACACCCCCCAACGATCTCACCTGATGTATAGATCGTCTACGGATAAAATTCTATATTGACTTTACTATGATTTCTAGTCAATATTACACCTATATTTACCACTTTTCAGTAGGATGTGATTTTCCTGATAATTTACTGAAGGAAAACTGCTAATAAAATAATTCCGCAATAAATGTTACTCAATACAGGAGTGACCAAACTGCTCTTTCTATCGCTTAGAGTGCGTGCTAGTTATCTAGCAGGTTCAGGATCGCTCACTTTTCTCCTGTGGTGTGATAACCAAGTATTGCTGAGAGATTATTCAATTAAGAAGTCCCTCCACCAAATCCTCACTAATTCTCACTATGACACTTTTGTTCAGCTGTGTCTAACTGACCCTAACTCACGCTTAGAGTGACGTGTTAGTTTTATATTAGCTAACAACTAATATTTGCTTTTATCTTTTGGAGCAAACGAACCAACCACTGGTGAGGAGAATTAAACTTTTATTTCTACCTGAGGTTTGAGAGGGGGCAGAAGCGGTGGCCTTTTATGCTTTTCAGAGGCCTCTCTACTCCCACGCCTCGCACTAGTTACATGTGCTACATTTGTATTATAGATAGTTCTAGAATGATATAGGGGGTTGGGCTGTGTAAGCTTAATAATGGACTTAGGACATGACTCAGCAATAAGTAATTCATTTCTTTGTCTTTTGGGCCGATCTCAGCGGGATCTTGTAGCGCTGAAGCTATGCTCTACACCGCCTTAATTACGAACGGTTATCTTTAGAAATGACTCGGCTATAAAGGAACTTCCTAGACTGTTCTCTAATTGACCCCTTTTTGTGAAGCCACATCATTACTAATGTTCTAGAGCCTTCCCAATTAATTAACTGATCCGCGGACTTCTGAATCACTTCATGCTTATGATCCGAGATCCAGATCATCAATCATTCCTTTGTTCCGATTTATTTGGGCTTAAAATCAAAAAGTTTTGATGAATCATGGGAAAATATACAAGATCCGGTTTTTTAGCATTTTCTCCTCTTCTGATGCGATCAAAAACTGTCCGCCCACGCCGGGGAATACTCTATCATATGGTATTCGGTCTGCCAGACTTCCGGGCGCCAATATATTTCCCTTGAGTCACATTACCTTTTGTAAGAATTAGCAAATAAATATATATGAATTATAAGGTGTTTCGCCGTTTGAGCGATATCTCCGTCAGTTTTGAAGCTTTTAGAATGAAACAAAACCGTGGATAAAGTTAAGAAACAGTCCTTCCAGATGGTAAAAAGATTACAGTCAAAAGTTTACTGGTTCCCGAGATATTTACATTTCTTTCCCAATGTTCCTTCTTATTCTGCCGTCTATGTGCTATTTTCTTGTTGTAGGGATATATTCTTTGAATATTACACCTATGTCAAGTTCTAGGCATGATTGTAGTAGATTAAATCTCATACTACATGGGTGTAGATATTTTATAATGATCTTCTAATGTCTGTCCAGTCTCATAAAGATCATGAGATCTGTTAAACGTCTGAACTTGTCACCTGTTCGTTGACTATTCTGATAGATCATTGTTTTATTCTTTGAATATTATTTCTCCTACACCGTAACAATATGATACTAAAGTGTACTTGATGTGAACTATGGGGACAGATGATGTGTGGGTACACATCACCAATCCTTACAGAAGCCCTCAGAATTTCTCAGAACTTAGTCAGATCCTGACAAGCATGCACCACACTTAAACAAACATCTTACACTGACACAAAGGAGAATTTACATTGCCATCAGCATGCAATCTATCATAATGTGAAAAACTCAAACACAGATAGAATTTCCTAATTATGTTAACCCAGTCTGGAATGCTGCCTTACATAATCTTCCATCCAAATTGGATATGTCTGAGCTTCAGCCTGCCTCCTTAGATCTACCAAGTGGGCCTTAATAATCTCAAAACCAATGGCTTTGGCCAGAGGAGGTGGCACTGCATTTCCAATCATTTTTCGCTGCTGCAGCACATTCAGAGCCTTAAATGAGGACTGGATTAGGACATACCTCTGAGATCAAATTTGTTCCCATTTCATAGTCTTTTGAAAATCCTGTTCAAATGTTAGTTGAAACATAGGATATGAATCATATCATCACCTTGAATGATCTTCTCCTCCATTATATCCCAGAAGCGATCCTCCACAGGATGATGCTGTGGACGAGTTCGTATTGTTTCAGCCAGCTCTGGCCAGTTGCCATAACTGAGGAAATATCAGGCTCTACATGAAGACACACAACTTTTGGACTTACTACTTTGTTTCCAATGCATCCTCCAACACAGATTTCAGTGAAACTGGGGGGTACTGGGCATGCATTACATCATTCTTGGATGTTACCAATTTCAAATGGCCAATGTTTAATGTTGTTGCTCGACAAGTGAACTGGTGAGTGGGTGCAGGCAAATTTGGAAGAGTCAAGCCAGATTGAGCTGCAATCACAATGAACCTTTCACGAGTCTGGGGTACACCAAATGCAGCAGACTAAGGGAAATGGTTAGCAAATGCCCCCTGAATATAAAATGACTCACCTGGAGGATCCCCATCCGCATCTGATACCTATACCAAGCACATGCATTGCAACCCAACAGTTCTTGCCCAACAATAAATAAGTGACTCACCCCAGTTCCACAAGAGCACAAGAAAGGAATTTAACAATGATGTGCTTCTCCCCTTCTGGGAATTGATGATGAATTACCCCCAGCACATTTTCCAATACCACATAAGAGGGTCTGAGTGCTTCAACCCAAGACAAAACATTGGCAACAAGAATTGACCTGAAAACCCAGATCATCAGCCCAACATGTCACCCCTACACAAGACTTCCATACCGAGGGTCAAGGATCTTCTTGTTCCGATTTGCAAATGAAAATGGTTGACTACTTCATGAGATCTTGATGCAAGTAGTCTATTTCCTGAAACTTACCATGGGAAACCAGCACAGAGCACCGGTATATTTGCTTGATGGAGGGAATGGCCAATGCCAGTGTGAGGAAACCTAAGGTCTGCATTGTGTTGAAAAAAATCTCGCAAAACCTCCTCAGTGTCAGCACAGAACATCCAGGCAGAGGGATAATTGAGACTACCAAATCAATCAGTTAACAATCTTTTACATTCATTTTGATTCACCTAAATGTGCCTGCAGTCAGCTCTGAGTTTTCAATAGCAGCTTTCACATCCAGAATACCAGTCTGTTGGAATCCAGAGGAGAAGCCACCAGCCCCAGAAAAGAGGTCAAGAACACCTAGGCTGTAGCCTAAATCCCTTAGCTCAGGGATTGCACCCAAAATCTCCTCTGCAGAGAAGAGATGATTGGAAGGGACGTGATATGTATCTTTCAGATACACCCTTTGTCTCTCTGCCTCACAGGCCAGACAACCAAGAGAATCATCCAAGGAATGACCCAAACCAGGCCAGGGATAATGATCAAAAAAACACCCCTGGGTGTTGTCCCATACAAACCTGTCTCTGCAGTGAACTTACATAAGGGCCAAACAGTCACAAGAACATACCTGCAGAAATAATCAGGGTTGGCTAAATCTGGTGGGTCCTCACCAGGTGGAACAAATTTCAATGAAATCCTCCCACGAATGAGGCTTAATGGCTTGTTATCACATTGAAGTGTCTCAAAAAGCTCTTGAGTGTGCCCCAACTCCCCAATCGGGACAGTGGAAGAGTGACAGAACCATTGAACATGGCACATCAAGCTGGATAGATTGATGCTAATGATCTTGCCTGTTAATTATCAATGAACCAAAATTTTTGGAACAGGAAAAGGCTAACACACCAAACCAGAGCCTTGCATAGGGATTTTGGGACTCCAAGCTGGTTGGTGGGAAGTTTCCCTATTTCAGCCTATAAGCATTTGAGTGCACAATATGAGGATGTGGCTTACATCAGGTTTGAGTAATATATAATCCCCAGACTAGAACATGGCAAAAAATGTGCATGTCAATTAATGCTTGTGCCAACTGCAAAATTTTTGACCTGATAGGAACCTGCAACATCACTAACTGAACTTTCCACCTCCTGGAGCCAATCTTGAAGCATAATATTCTGATCTACAGCCTCACTGACAGGTTTTTCCCGTTGGCAAGCAAGTTGATTCCACAATTCATAGGGAAACCCCTTTGCAACCACTCTAAGAACTCTAGGGGCACAAGCCTTGAGTGATCTGCACAGCTGGTGTGGAGTGTGTAGATTTCCCCTGTGAGGTGGCACACCTTCATCGCACAGAGCTGTGTAATACTTGATGAGAGGACACCCCTCAAGATGTTTCTTTGCAGAAGGGATAAGCGTGTGGAGATATGCCGCAAGATGGTTCGGTATGATCTGTGCCTAAAAAACAATGTTAATCGAGGACTCCAGTTAACATAGCAACTCACGGTGAGAGTGAGATTCTCTTCGCACGACTCCAGGGGTGGCATGATATGCCAGTCCTGGCTGCGTAGAATCACATCCGGTAAATGATGAAATTCCAAGCAGGGGTCCATAAAAGCTGCATTAACCATCACCTGAATCAGGCGATGCATCAGCAAGAAATTCCCGTGAAGGGATTCTTGCTCCGCAACAGGATTTAGCAATATGAGCCACCTGTCTTCGCACTCTAACCAGAACAGGCTAACAAATCGTCAGAAAATGAGGACACAGACAAGTTGAACGCTGACCGGTCTGTTCCAATGTCATACGGTTGAATCTGGGCATCATTGACAAGGATGCGCTCCACATCCTCCCGGCTATTTTCATTCCTATCTTGCGGATACTGTTCAGCCTCATTGCTTACATCCCCGCAAAAAGGCGTCTGGGACCCAGAGATTAAAGCACGACCTTCCGGTGCAAAAAGCCGTTCCACTTCGAGGGGTTGGCCTTCCAAATCCATCATCGAAAAGCAATCGATATAAAAAACTGGAAGGTTAGCTAGCCACAATGTGAGCATATATATTGTATGGATCCTTTAGTGCTTCCGACGAAACACCTACTGCGCTTTCGCTTGGTGAGATTGGGCATTATAATTTGCGCGACTGATCTGTTCAAGCTTTGGGCAGGTAAACGTTGTGGCGTCGTCACTTCCCGTTTTCTCACGATTTCATCCATCATAACAGTGCGTGATTGAAGACACCCAAAAATCTCTGAGCTAAGCCCGCCTTCTTCAGTGGAAGAGGTTTCAACTGGTTCTGATTCTGACTATTCGAGGTGAGGTCTCTGATTGCGGCTGGAATCCATGCTCCATATTCTCCGTCTATGACAGTTCATGGATCTCTTGGTTCCTGGCGTCTAAAGGCAACGAATACTTTTGCGAGATCGAAGAAGATTACATACTGGACAGATTTAACCTTACTGGTCTCGCTCCTGAATGCGCTAACTACTCGCAAGCGCTGGACCTCATTACTGATAATCTTGGTAAGCCACTGACACCGAGTCTCCCTCCTCCTTAATGCTCTCCGCTTGCATTTAGATGAAGACATCGATGATGAACTTCGCCAATCCATTGAGGTCCAGGCGCGCTTTCTATACGGACTCATTCATGCCCGATGGATCATAACCTCTCGAGGCCTCGCGAAGATGGTATGGCGCACTCGCACAAGCTGGAATCTATCTAATATTTCATCCCGTCGAAGCTGGAAAAGTACAAGAAAGCAGACTTTGGGAGATGTCCGCGGGTCCTTTGCCACGCCCATCCATTGCTTCCCATAGGCCTGACGGATGCGCCATACGAAAAGGCCGTTAAACTCTATTGTCCACGCTGCGAAGATCTGTACTCTCCAAAATCTTCTCGCCACGGCTCGATTGATGGTGCTTACTTTGGCACTACGTTTCCCCACATCCTTTTCATGGTCTACCCTGCCATGATCCCTTCCAAAGGCTTGGACAATTCATCTTCGGCAAGAGAAAGAGATGGACGACTGGAGAGGAGCGGGCCCAGCCAGATCGGAAGCTCAGCCAGCACTGCTACAATTGCACTGAAGGCAGAACAATACCGACCCACTATTTTCGGCTTCCAGATTCATGAGACAGCGAGGCTCCAACGATGGCAGGAGGCTACCCGGGACCGGTGCGATCTTTTTTCGAATTACTGTCGATCAAAACTGAACCATGATGTCAACGTTGTAGCCAGATTGCGATATTGGAGGATGCAGAGCAGGACAAATAGATGTACCATTTGTCAATGTATATATGTCCGTCACCATAAACATCGCTACTTGTTTGAGGGCTGGCTCCCTGAACTTCCCCAAATTTGACTCCGTAACCAGCCAGAGATCCACTGAGCGCTTCGACCGACACCTAATCTAGTTAAGGCGACCGTGTGCGGACGTCAAGAAGCTTCGAATGTCATTTGTAAAACTCAGCATCTTTGGAACCTCCTTCGAGGTTGGTGCTTCGCCCCTAGAGCTTGTCATGACCCTCGCAAATTGATTCCATAGGTCACAACACGATACGGGGACCTACAACCCGTCGGAATGGGTGAGTTCAATGTAAATAGGTGCCTTGTTCTGCCATAACACAACCATCATGATATAGGCGCGTTTGGACTGGTTTGGTGAGCTCAGTTATCCATGACGGCTCGGCATACCATTAACATATCTCCCCCAGCTCGGCAAGGGACCAGCTCACTGAGTCGGCAGTGGCGATCAAGAAGATCATGAAACCATTCGGGACACCAGTTCTCGCAAAGAGGACATACCGTGAACTCAAACTTCTCAAACACATTCAACATGAGAACGTTCGTGATCTCAGCCCAATTTCCTGTGATCGGATGCTGAGGTGATATACCCACGGACTAGATAATCAGTCTCAGCGATGTGTTCATATCACCCCAGGAGGACATGTATGTAAAAGCGATCGGTACTGGCATACTTGGAGGACCGATCATCCCATTGACAGATACTTTGTAACGGAACTACTCGGCACGGACCTCCACCGTTTACTGACCTCCCGACCGCTGGAAAAGCAATTCATCCAATATTTCCTGTACCAAATTCTGGTGAGACGTCGATGGCTTCCATTTTTCAAATCACTCACATCTCAATATAAGCGGGGGCTCAAATATGTTCATTCCGCCGGTGTCGTCCACAGAGACCTTGTACGCTCCTTTTTCGGGAAATCCTCAGTTCGCTTATCATGGCGCACAGAAACCCAGCAACATCCTCGTGAACGAAAATTGCGATTTAAAGATCTGTGATTTTGGGCTCGCACGGTTGCAGGACCCCCAAATGACTGGCTACGTCTCAACAAGATATTATCGCGCACCAGAAATCATGCTTACATGGCAAAAGTATGACGTAGCGGTGGATATCTGGAGCACAGCGTGTATATTTGCAGAGATGTTGGAAGGGAAACCATTATTCCCAGGAAAGGATCGTAAGTACGGCTTCGGAAGCTTGCCATGCCAATCGCGCTAATTCTCAATCTACTCCGCTAAGACGTGAATCAGTTTTCGATCATCACAGAGCTCTTGGGCACACCTCCAGATGACGTTATAGAATCCATTGCGAGCGAAAATGTGGGACCTAAAAACTTAGACCGTCTTCCCCTCCTGATGCGTCATCGCTCCCTAGACCCTCCGATTCGTTCAAAGTCTGCCCAAGCGGGAGCGCGTACCCTTCCGCAACAAGTTCAAAAACACCGATGAAGATGGCGAGTAGCCCGCCATATATGTCTAATACATCGCATTCAATAACTTTCTCCATAGCACTCGACCTCCTCGAGAAGATGCTTGTCTTTGATCCCCATAAGAGAATCAACGCAACTGAAGCATTGAGCCACTCTTATGTAGCTCCATATCATGATCCCACAGACGAGCCAGTCGCTGCCGAGCCTTTCGACTGGAGCTTCAACGACGCTGACCTACCAGTAGATACATGGAAAGTCATGATGTACAGCGAGATTCTTGGTGAGTATCTTAAGGAAAACTGCTGAGAGATTGCATTCACCGTATTCGCTCGCCTGGATAGACTTCCATCAGATTCCTGGGAGTGAAAGCAACGAGAGTTCGGCGCTCAGTGCAGCTCCAGAATAGGCCCGCCTTACATTGAAGCTCCCGGTCCCCGTCGAGACTCGACACTGTATCTCCACCGCGTCACGTCCAGGTTCCGAACGAATACCTGTTTTTGTATTTGCAGTTGTTCCATCACGACTTCTATACCTTCTTTGAGTCTTATTTTGGAAGTTCGCCGTAATGTCTTCCTCTCCCCATTCTCCTCACCCAAGAGATAGACCCCTCATATACAATCAATGGCTCTTTCCGTCTTGACCCGGCCTTGCTTTCACAACTAGTAGAGGCAAAGGTTCAAGGGAACAGAGTCGAATTAACGGAGTCCACCCTAACTTTCGTAATTTTATTGATTTGATCTATCGCCGAATTCTTCACTCCGGGGCATGGAAACCGGTGATTTACAGGTCCTCACACACGAGAGGATGCCGTTCCGACCTTCCAAGCAATGCGACTGGTATGTAATTACAATTTGCATTCGATGTACACATGAAAAAAAAAGAAACACGAATGTTGCGGCCAAGTTAGCGGTTAATATAATTTCCCATCTACGTATCCCTGCGTCAGGTAGAATCGGTACAAGAATGGCCTTATCCCCAATTCGTGCGACGCCTAGCTCCATGCTGCAACTGCAAGTGTGGAGATCTAGAGGCGATCTTCGAAACAGAACTGAACTCGGTCACAATCTGTGAGGTCTCTCAGAAGTCGCCACACACAAACCAAGTTCAAAGCTAGAATTTTACAAGGTTCACATAGAAAAGTGACTACTCAGGCAAGTAAGGTACAGAAGAGAAAACGTACTAACACTACATTGGGCAACTTTGCACCGCCACAACCTATCGACAGATCTGAATTCCTGAAACCCATTTTTTGGATCATCATGCCACTTATAAAGGCTATCCAGCGTGCAATGAACAAGATCGCCCCAACATCTCTAGCAGAGTCATGGGACAATGTACGTTACAACGACCAGAATTGGGAACCGTCGTTCATCATTCACACCTCGACAATTCCCTAGGTCGGACTACTACTGGGTTTGTAATTTCGCCTTATTATCACGTCACTGAACGCGGTTAGTAATCCATCCCGTTTACTCTTGGCTCTTTGCTCCTGTAGAAGCTCCCAAATCATGGCATGAACCCACACAGATCTTGTTGACGATTGAGTAGGTGCAAGCCTTCTCGAGCATGATGCAACCTATCCCTGACAGTAACCATGCCTCGATTATCCAGTCTGACTCCATCCGTCCTTCATGAAGCTCTGTCATCTCCTCTACCAACGAGCTGTATCATCTCATATCATCCTCCAATCTTCAAACCTATATCCTCCTTCACCCTCTCCAACCCTTTGCAATCCTCCCTTCTCCAGTGCGCTGCGGCTGGGATATCCGTGTACTCACCTCACACAGCACTCGACTCCGTCCACGGCGGCATTCATGACTGGCTGGCATCAGGGGTGCTCAATTCGGACGAAGGAGTCGTGAAAATTCTGGGAAAAAAGACCGAGGGACCCGTTGCTGACACTGCAAACCCTTTGGATGGGCTTGGTCGCGTTGTCGAGTTCACGAAGCCTGCGAACGGCATCACGATAGAGTCACTCGTGAATCGCATCAAACAATGCTTGAAGCTAAAGCAAGGTCTGTAGTCAATAACAAACCTGTCCGCAGAAGGGCTACCCAAAGGTTCCACAGTTCAAGTGGCATCGCCCGATCTCACCCTGTTGAATATCGATAAACACATCCCGATTAAAACCGTGGCTCTCTGCGCTGGTTCAGGGGCGTCTGTACTAAACAATGTTGATGCTGGCGAGTACACGGGTATCATGAAACACCTTCCATGCCCACTAATATACGGAATCGCCAGATGCGTACTTCACGGGAGAGATGCAGCACGTAAGCAACGTCGCCAACTCGGCACCGCGGGATTCTGACTTAGTGGCTCTCCATCAGCACGATGTACTCGCAGCTGTGTCCAAGGGAAGACACGTAATACTATGTGAGATTGTTGGTGCTGAAATTGACAATACAATTAACCTCTACCAAGGCGGCCATACGAACACTGAAAGAGGCTATCTCCCGATCCTCTCAGAGAAGCTTCGTCATGAAATTGCTCTGGACGCCGAATGGAAGGACAGGCCATTGCATGTTGCTATCAGCAAGGCGGACGCTCACCCGCTCAAGTTTGTGTAAACTGGAGAGAGACCAAAGAATTATCTCTGACCTGTGCGGTATTGTATATCCAATTCCTGGAGAGTTGAGCTCTTTCCCATGCCATTTCGCATTAGAGATCCATGACCCAACAGCCAGAGAATGAACTAGTCGACAACTTTTTTTTTTCGTCGAAGTGACGTGCATGACCAATCCCGACTCTAAGTGCACCCCGTTGCCCCAGAAATAAAAAATAAAAGACCCCACTGAAATGACGCGATTTGGGTCCAATATATTCAATCTTTGCACACGTAATTATGATGTGACTGCTACAGTGGAGGACCAAGACTCGCAGTCGTCGTCGCTCTTGGACGCGCATGCGACTCGCAATGTTCTTTTATGGAAATTACACGTGTAAAAGCTCGACGTCGATCGACGAGCATCAGGATGAATCCGGTTTCGAACTTGTCTCCTGACTTGTTGCACTGAGGTGATGCAGAAGCCCATCAATGTTGGAGAGTAAGTCATCCAGTCGACGATCGACTCCCGCAACTACGTCCTCGGCTTTCTCGAGTTCTTTGAGCAATCCTTGGACATTGAATTCCTCCGCATCCAATTGCTCATTAGCATTCAGCTTTTCCGCTTCCCCATTCACGATTGACATGTCAGTTCTGTAATCCAAGGGGGATGGAATAAAGGGGCTAAGAAAACAACGCATGGGAAAGGATACGAGAGAAACCAACCGACCAACCGAAATTTATCTGCTAGGCCTTGTTGGATGACGAGTGTCTGGCACAGCCTCATTTCGCACTCCAATTAGCAACAATGCAAGAATTTCTTCTTTTCACTCCTGTCTACACCTTGGTTGGGATCTACCGGTTACTGACAGACCCTTTCATCCGAGTAAAGGCAAGTATCAATCTCTTCACATACTCCAGTCCTCGCTAACAACTTAAACTCAGGTCTGGGATAAAATCCGCCATGGAGTGCAGCGAGGGTAAAGTCGTATTCATCCCCCAAGCAACCTTGGAGACAAAGCATGAATAGTATCACATCCTATGTATAGAATTCTAGTTGGCGCTATTTGGGTAGGCGTCGCTTTGTCCTAGGGATTATACAATACACGTTGCCACGCACAGACCATTGGCACCTTTCGGATTCAGCGCATTTTTGTCTCTTTTTTCCTAAAGAGGTGTCTACCGGAAAGCCACTAGAAGTCGTATTCGCATCTTAAATACTCTCACAGATTTCCCCGTGCTCTGGGTTTATCTCATGACAATGTGTTCGGCTACGGAATGGATGTTGCGACTTGTCAGTATGCCAGCTCAACACAGCATGATCATCACCGACTAACGTTTGTGCAAACTAGATACCACACTTGTTTTAGTGTCTTCCCAAGTTCAAACTATGGTTCGTTTCTTCCTTGGAAAAAATTTGCATATCGCGCGTGATCGAGCTTGGGACCAAGTCCTCGTTTCAAGAGGAAAAGCCAAGGAGTTCTGGGGGCCTTATTTCGAGGAATGGGAGAAGCCACCTCAAGTTAGTCTCGACTTTCGAGCCAGGTGGGAGAAATGGATTACAAGCCCAGTCGGAAGATTAGTGATCAGGAAAGGCACGTTTTCCATCCCATTGCCCATCCCACAAAACTTAGCGATTCCAAAACTGCTCGCATCAGTCATTCTTCTCCCTCTCAACCTTTACCCTATCGTTGGACTCCTTATCACGTCCGGAATCAAGGCCGTGGCGACCGCACGATATCTGCATGGGCCTTACTTCGAGTCTAAAAAGATGTCCCCTCACGAAGTAGCCGTCTTCATGGCGGAACGGAAAAGCGACTATTACTGTACGTTTCCCTCCCATCTCAGCACCGCAGTTCACGCAACCAGCTACGACAGCATTTGGATTCGCCGCAGCCTTGTTGGAGTCCATTCCACTTGTAGGAATTTTCTTCTCGATTTCGAATAGGATCGGCGCTTGCATGTGGGCTTTCGGTATGTCCTCCTGGAGTTGCGTGCTTCCTAGAAGATGCTTACATGTCCCCGCTAGACCTCGAGAAACGGCAGCATCGATTCCATTCTGGTGAGCTCAAGCGTGTGCCTGCCGTCTCGTCAGCGCACTAGGGCCACTGGCAAGGCTGAAACGGAATGGCTAGGATGGGTGGAAGATGAGTGATTCGACCCGAGGCAGAACCAAACAGGGCGCCTGCTCCATGGTTGGCACTTGTTAGAGATTGTTCAATCAGTCCGTGCATACTCACTGCCCCCAAGTCAAAGTGAATAAATGGCACCCCAGATGCCCGGTTTTGATGGAACCAACCACCTTAGAAATACATACATACATGATGCGTGAGAGTGCTACTACAATGCCGTGCATAACAAACTGCGGATCATTTTGCTCCCTTGGTAATAAATCCCCTTCAGTACATTGTCGGAGGGATGCTTGGTATAAGAAACGGTAGAAAAGACAGGTTGCGTGTATTTTGAGAACAAAGCCCACCAACTCATCACTTTCTCCATGTCCGAAGAATGCTGCCACGGCGAAGAAAGCTCCTCCGCCTTTGTTTGACCGTAGCTGAAAATTCCCGCGAGTTTTGTATCTCCCTGCTCCGCCTTCGCACTTCCAATAGCGACGAGCGCTTCCGGTTATTCGATAAGGTATAGGAGGAAGGTATCTGCAATGCGAAGGTGGCGATGTTCGTCTGAGTAGTTCGGCCCCTTCCATCATACGCTTTCACCGCAACGCCATAGAACTGCTGGGATCTGGTGTCAGGCCCTTGTTTCGTGGCCTCTCCAATGATGAGGTCGTGCGGAATGGAGATGGAAAATGCAACGGTGCAAATGCACCCCTCGAGGGCAGCACGTCTTTGGAAAGTGATTCTCGACGAAGGGTTCGATCGGCTGTGCTCCAGCCCAGATTGTTCAAAGTCCTCTTGGTTCCAATCCAGAGGGCGGAGAGAGCCTGCCACCGTAAGTGCGACAGTGATGGCGAATGGAGATGGATGAGAATTGAGGATGCGACGGAAAAATCGAGTATCCACAGCAGCAGTGCCTTCAATGACAACCGAGCTACAAGTCGTACACCTACGTCAAAACATGAAGATAATACTGAGGGGGCTTGCTCACTTTTTGAATGGCTCAGAGCTCAAGAATACTCGTTGTAACGAGACAGACGGAGAGTCCCAGTCGCCCAACGAGCTGGCGATCAAGTGAGGGGGGGGTGTTGACATGACAAGCCAGATTCTAGAATAGACCAGAAGACTTAAAGGAGGAAAGCCAAGGGGCACAAAGAAAGGCTCGACTAAGGTCAAAGGACTTGACTACTGAGTTATTAGAGGCTATGGCATCTCACTGGATGAAAACGGCCCAGTGAGAAGGTGAGGACATCCTGGATGATTTCTTACGTAAACAATGGCAGGTATCGAGGCATCAGAGCGGAGAGCAAAGGCAAGACGAACGCATGGCAAACGTTAACTTCCTAACTAGGAAAGGTAACTCTAAATTAGGTTTGCGTAGATTGAGCGCGTCCTCGGGCATAAACAAGACAACAAAGGGAATGGGAATTTGCCGGTTTCTGGCGACCTGCCTGCAGATCCCCTTACATATAGCTATGAAGTACTTCGACCCGTTATGACTTGCTAGTCCACGGACTCTGTTGAAGCGAAAAGCTTGTCACATCCACCTTCTACTTGGACGCCATCCAGAACCACTCTCTCGCTGATCAGGCTTGCATCAGGCTATCAGAAACGAAATTTTACAAAGGCCTCTCAAGCTCCGCCAATACCAAATAAAGGCTTTTGCTGTAGAATCACACTATGTATATAAGACACGAAGCCACGGGAGGGTCCATGTGATGAACTTAACTGATGATACCAGCTCAACCTTGAAGGTATCTTGACACCAAAATCGATGCAATAGGGTGGTCTGTAATTTTGATCGTTGCATCGAATGAACGATTATGCGGACAATTACAAGAACCGTAAGAGATACATTAGATGGGTTGTATGAGAGTACCGTTCGGTCACGAGGGGATGATGCGGTGGACTGTGTCAATGACATTGGAACCCTTTCTGGCATACACGAGCTGCGTAGCAATGGGTCAGATCGGCAAAGCACTTATCGCAGGGGAAACATACAAGATATGGATTAGCAGTCGAACCCGTTCCGTCCGCCAGAACCTCATCCTTGGAGACAACACTAACTTCAGAATCGTTGTACTTGAACCACGAATTAGGATTGTTGGGAAGATTGCAAGAGTAGAAGAAGTAATGGCCCCAGGCGGGAGAGGTCCCTCTGTGAATGAAAACGGAGCAGAGCTCGTATTCTTGATTCCGCTCGTCCAACCAGAGTTCTTCCAGCTCGACTTTTAACTGCTTTGCGCGAGCACGGCAGTCCTCTATTTCGCGATGAACAACATCCTTCTCGCCACGTAAATAGTCTACGAGTGCTTGATCAATCTCTTCCACGCCACCAGCTAGAAAATCGTGAGCCAGCTCTTCTGACTGGGCCAGTGATTCAAGTATAGGATCAGTCTTCAATTATTGATGCTGTCAAATGGTTGTGGGTGCTGCGACACTCAATGGCCACTTACTGAGCTTTCGGTGAGGACAGCTACACGTTCCCTACACCTCTGCAGATCCTTTTGAATGATGGCTGACTTCGCTCGTTTCTCCGGATTTGCCGACTGCATGAACCTGTCCATGTACAATGTCTCTCCAAATGCTACGTATGCATTGTTCTTTCGGGCTTGCATTGTCTGGCGATCAAATTGTACCCTCTAAATGATAAACCGAAGCGATGCATAGGTCAATGAACGGCACGATGTAACGGAGGGCGTGCAAAATCACACCTGAAGCTGAATCTGGAGAATTGGCGGAGTTTCAACTAAAACGACCTCCATGCTGGCTTTCTTTCCTTCGAATTCTATGACATCATCCATAAAACCGCTGAGCCCATCATATAGATCCGTTCCTTCATTGGAGACATTGACGAGGAGCTGCGCAAAAAGATCCGTCTTTTCACTGACAACGCTTTGTGACTTCGCATCCTCATCAAGGGGCGTTATCCGCTGTCGCTTGGTTCCGTAAAAGAGTCTATGGCGGGTCTTAACGTCATCAGTCAAGGATCTGCCAGAGGTGGAACTCGCCGTTTCACGACATTCAGACGCTCGGATCCTTCTCCAAGTTCCGAATCAAACTGAAGCGCAGCCTCTATCTGGAAAATGCAATTGTCCATACATTCGGAAACGTCGTTTTGTCGACCTAGTGAACGATAATCAGAATTGGGCACTCATACACAGAGAAATCCGTACCGAACATCATGTCACCTACTGAGGGCTGGCGATTTCGAGGGGGTAACGGGGGAGGAACGCTTGAGGCAAGGCTCGGATTCGCCTTGTTTGCCGACGGATCAGACATCTCGGAGTCCTCGGCAAGGGTGGCTTCACGTTGGGATACGGGGCCTAACTCGCCTGTCGTCTGTCTACGCTTGGGAGACGGTGAATCGTCGACATCCATGGGCAAAGCGGGCTCCTGCTTTGCTGTGAGTCGGGACTCGCTAGAACGTTTACCCAGTATAGTGACTTGAGGCGAAGGCGCGGACATGAAAGAAACCTGATGGGATGGTAGTGATGGGATGTCTGATGGATTTTCAGCCTCCGTCCCGTTAGCCTCGACTAAGGTAGAGTCTGTCTCCGCACTCCCGATGGATGTTGCAGCGGTTTCTTGAGCCCCAGAACCCATTTCCTCGTCCTTGGACGTCATAAGTGCCAGTTTGGCAAGTTCCACTTCGGGAAGGACCGCAGGGGCCTCTGCGTGAGCGAGGTTGATAAACAGGTTATGAAGATGTGTCACAACTACACAATGAATACTTAATGGCATTTATCACCCAAGAAAAAATGAAACGCACATCTACGAGAACGATCAAGTTCACGAGAAGAAATAACTCGTCCTCCAATTGGTTTCCCTTTGAAGTCCTCTTCCCCAGCACCGGACCTAAAGGAACCTGATGCAAGTGCATCTCTGAGTTGTCTGATCGTGTAAAAGTACTGAGTGCCGTCAGCTGCTCAGTAAGCTGGGCGTACGTCTGAAAGGACGTACTTGCAACAATGAATTAAGGTAACAAGTATTCCCAAGTTGATATAATCCGCGAGGCCATTCCAGACGGTGAGAGTGTCCCTGTCCCGCTGGAAATGCTCTTGAGCTGATTATGTGTTCAAGAGTACTGATCACGAACACCTACAATCTACTCCACCCCCAAGAAACCCGCGCAATCGGTCACTATTACGGTCCTCCGCGATAAACTGCAAAGTCGTTCGTAATTTATCGATCTCCCCTGGTTGTTCTGTTGCCTGTCACAATGCGTGTCAGGGCATAATGAGGATTAAGTTGTTCCAATAGCTCACACGCATCTCGTACGCGACGATTAGAGTGTCGTCGTCAACGTCCCTAGTAGCGTCAAAAGCAGCATACGCAGCGTTGGGGCTCATACTCTTGAGTTCGATTTCTTGTCTCGCCTGTTCCACGATGACCTGGCTGCCCAAAGACTGAGACGCAATCAAAAGCGCTTCTTTGAGATCCCGCCGCAAGGTATCACGCTTCTCAGGATCATACAACCCCTCCTTCGCATTGCTGAGGTCAATCCCATCCCACGCATTCCTAAAGGCACCAATCAAGAAATGGCCATCCACGTCGCGATCGAAGTTTATCCGCAAAGGACCGTCTGGTCCAAAACCCAACAACCCCACGGCACGGTCCAAATCCTTACGAGACCAAAGGCCTCTAGATTTTTGGGTCATGATGAAGTTTGTTAAATCTTGACGGTGGGGGAGACCGGGAATTTCTTCGATCATTTCTAACGCCGAAAGATATTGAGGGATATTGTTAGGATCACAACGAATTTGCTGATGGAAGGCAAACTCGAGAAGCTCTACATCTCGAACTGAGCGAACATCCAGAAATCTAAATAACTGAACCCGCACTCTCGGAGTAGGACTCTACTGGCATTCCAAACTGCAGGAACAAGGATCCATGCCATGGATTGGTGGCAAACATCCACGGCTGGTCTGCAAGGGATAATCAGCACGTTGCAACGAACCAAACGAATGGTTCAACCTCTTGTTTGAGACCCGATCAGCCCCTCGAATTCTTCCCGTAATGACATCGTGTAGATGTGGACACCATCCCCTGGATCGGCTTCAGGGTACCCCTTCAGCCTGGATGTATCAATGAGAGGATCAGGACCATACCTGGCGACCTCTTGTAAATATGTAGCCACGCGCTGATCTCAATCCATGCCCGAGTCATGATTGCCCTATTTCTACTACCCTGAGGGGACGCAGATGAAAACGGAGGGGGTGCCAGACGCATAGGAAGTTCATGATGACTGCGGAACCCAATGCGCTCAAATATCTCAGCGCTGTGATAAAAGGTCAATCAATGGACATCTTGAGGAGCCAGGGGTACGAACGTGGTCTCATTCCACCCCAGATTATTTAAAAATCCAGTTGCCTGGGTATTGACGGCGCCTCCCTGACCTTTGAACAAGCAATTGGCCATAATCCTGGAAACATGTTAGCAGAAGCATAATATACAGATATACAAGGGAACAGTGGCATTCAGACCCACTTCACCAAGAGTTCCAATGCTGCGATAACACTTTGCTGCGGAGTCTTTCCCAGAGGTGGGTTACTCGAACGACTCAAAACTAAGGTGTCCAGCACATCTCGGGGAATGATGGCAGGGATGACTCCGCTAACCACAACGTACACTTGACAAAGGGCACAAACGTATAAATCTGCCCGTATTGTAGCCGATGCCAAGTCTGCTGTTGTTGATGGTGGGTTTGCATTGTTGGCGTTGTTGCCACCCCGCCCTGATGCGCCAGCTGACGACTGGAACGAGGCCTCATGCAGGGAAGAGAACGCAGCGGAAAGTAATGGGGGGACATCTGTAGCCCTGGGTAGGCGTGAAAATGGTGATGGATTGAGATATCTTCGTAGACAAGCTGCGAGAACCCTGGTCGAGCAGTGCAGTTAGCGTATAACGCACGACCAACATCCGAAGGATAGGGTTTTCCCGGAATCTCGCGCAATGGAACACTCAAAGCTTCATCCTGTGCCACATTGACGAAAACCCAGCCATGAGATTTGAAATTATAAAAGAGATGCTCCGGCAGGCAGTTGCGGACGTCATCTAATTTAGAAGCCGAATATCTAGGGTCCGGACCATGGGTACCCTCTTTGCGATCGGGTGGAGTTGGGACGGAAATGACTCCACAACGATAGAGGGGCTCTGCAAAAAATGTTGGCAGCGACAAGTGGAGGTAATTGACCAGGCCCAGGCCTATATTCTGTGAACGCGGCATACTTCGCATCCCACCAATCGGGGGGCGGTTCTGTGAGCCAATGTTCCCTTCCAACTTGCACAACCGAACGTCAAGCCCCGATTGACCCCATGTCGGACTACCCTCGAACCAATCGGTATTATATGTTGTTTCAAAAACCGGCTCTGGTGGGCGGTAATCCTCAAGAGGCTCGGAAGTAAGAGATGAGACAGGGGTCTGTTTCATTACTTGTGCGTCACCATCTATCCGTGATGAGTTGGAAGCCATGCCTTCATCATGCGAAGGAGACTCGGCAGTGAATTTGTACGAGGTATGAGAAGTGCCTGGGCCCACTGAGGAAGATCCAGCTTCCTTATTCTTCGTTACATTCCGGCTAGAATATGTATGCTTTACCCTCTTTCCGTAAAACTGAGAGGCTGGGATGGTGGCGGCAGTTCTGAGTGGATCCACAGAAGACGCCTCCCCAGAAGGCACCGCATCAGCATATGAGGGTAAAGCAGAGTCATCTGCATTTGCGCTAGATATATCATCTGAGGTCCCGCGTAGATCAATCTCATTTAGACGAGCCATCGCGTTCTGGTGCAGTCTTTCCGATGCACGAATATGGGGCGCGACTATGCGGATATGGCCGAGGGAGGCATTTGGATTATGTAACCTCTTGTTCTCACGATTGGGACGCTAGCACGGTAGCGGATCTGAACCATGTTTCGCGCTCAAATTTTGTCGGGTGCTGGAAGAGTCCTTGTCAGCCCTGCCGGATGCCCATCTCTGCTACCTCCAGACAACTATCCACCCAAAACCAAGGCAAGCCTCTTGGTAATGCTCCGCTGTATCTCTCGCTTGCTGGTTTGGCTGGACTCTCTTACTACGTCTACGGCGAGTCCAAACAGAAATCACCTTCTCAGAAGGATACACCCCAACTTGTTGGAGCACTAAGCAAAGACGAATTCGTGGATTTTTCGTTGAAGCGGGTAAACATCCCGTCAGTGCCATCTGAATCTAATTGAATGCCAAACCGCTTTCAGATCGAGCCTTATAATCACAATACGGCTAAGTGAGATGGGTCATACTTACATTAAACCCCTCTAATGATATCCTTAGATTCACCTTTGCATTGCCCGAGAATTCGGCATCGCTGTTGCCCGTCGCAGCTTGCATCCTTGTGAACGCCAAAGAAGCTGGCCCCAAAGATGACAAAGGGAATCCCATCATAAGGTAAACCATTTTCCTCGCGTAAATTGCCTCCAATGTATCTCTCCTTAGACCATACACTCCTATTTTCCCCATCTGATACTCGAGGAGAGATCCAGTTATTGGTCAAGAAGTATGACACTGGGAAGGTAGAAACCCCAACTCCCCCCACACAGCGTATTGACGCATTTTCAGTTGACTCCTTTTATCTTCCGCATGAAGCCTGGAGACAAGCTCGGGTTTAAGGTAGGATGATGGGCACTCTCAAAATACACTCAGATTAATCCTCTGCAGGGTCCGATTCCCAAGATCCCATACGAAGGTGATATCGTCTTCCATTAATAGAACAGATTATCTTACCTTTGCTATGCTCATAGCCAACAAATGGGATGAGGTGCCCGAATATGCAGTTCAGGTCACCTAGATGCTGATCTCTATTTCATCTGTAGGTCGCCATGATTTCGGGCGGCTCTGGAATGTGAGTTTCCGTGTACGATTCCAAGGCTAGATTGACAACCTTGACTAGAACGCCGATGTATCAGGCAAGTCATTGATCACGAACACTCAAGGATTGATGTTCCTGATTAGCAAGTGGGACTCAGATCTTGAATCATGCCTTACACCTCAAGGATGATAAGACAAAGTTTACCCTGATTTTCGCCAACGTATCCCCTGCGGACATTCTTCTTCGTGAGGATCTTGACTCCTTCAAGAAGCAGCACCCAGACAGGTTCAACGTTGTCTATGTTGTGGACAAGGCGGAGGGAAACTGGACCGGTATGCTCGCACAGTCTAGA